TTGTTTGAAGTACTTAAATAGACATTGGATATGTATTATTCTTTAAACCACTTTCAGGATCTGATGCTGTAAAACTAATAGTAAATGCTCTATCTTTACTTCCAACATCAATTGTTTGAGATGATACTGTTAGTGAATTTAATACTGGTGGAGTTGTGTCTAATGAGGCTATTTCATCACTTTTGCATGTAAGGAAGACTTTATTAATACTTGGTTCATTTAAAAAGTACATAAATGGGTTTAGAGTTGCTGATACTGGATTTGGAGATGTTAATGAAAAATATGAAAATCTTTTGATTTTATCATATAAACCAACCTCGCTAATTTTGTAATTTTGACTTATACAAGGGTATGAAATTTTGATTATAAAATCATATTCACCCAAGAATTCATCACCGCCTTCTTTTACATCTTTTGCTGTGAATGTTATGTTATAAATAGACTGGTCAACTTCACCTCTAATTGTTACATATCCTGATTCGAAACCATTTATTGGATCTTCAATACTGATACTCCACCCAATTTGACCAATGTTATTGTTTTTATCAATAGTTATTGGTGATATTTTTTTTATATCCTTAAATATTGGTCCTTGTAAATCTAAATTTGATTTTTTAATTTTTAATTTTGTATCTAAAGCTTGGTATGTGATAACCATTGTTGAAATATATAAATCAAAATTAAATTCATTTAGTGTGTATTACATTCTACATAAAACTCTAATTCAAATAGTTTTAAATCTTCATTATATCTTGAATAGAATATATTCACATAGGTGTATGAAGTATAAACAGGGTTGCTAAGAATTGTTGCATCACGAATTATAAGCCCAACAGATCTATCTTTTGGTATTTCCGAGCTATTAAAGTACAATACATTATGGTGTCTGTGATTTGAAATATCAATATCATTATATAAAAATGAAACCTGTTTTATTGATTGGAAATTAACTGAAATATGAATAATAGTTTTAAATTAATATAATTTTTTTAATTTTTTCTAAATAATTTTTTATATATTTACAATTTTCTATTTCATATGGATTAATAAAAGGTTTAAATCCTTTGGTAGTGCTAATAACCTTATCAACTTCTAAAATTTCAACATTCTTAAATTCATCATATATCTCCAAGTGACTAAGAGAGACATCCAGAATAATTTCGTATATACCTTGATTTAAATCTCCTGAAACCAAAACTTCCACTCCATAGTAATTTCTATTATTAGTTTTATCTTTAATATAATAAAGTGAGTTTTGTGCACTAATTTCTAATCTTAGTAAATACATTTCTTTTTCCAAATGAATTATTTCAAAATCTAAAATTTTTGGGCCGTTAATATTTCCAATTTCTATTTTTAAATAATAAATAATTAGATTTTAACATTAATAGAAATATTTTTAAAAAACTTTATAAATACCATTGAAATTATAATTTGAAGAAATCACTTGTTGTGGAAATACTCTTGATTTTAATGAAACATATCCAACTTGCCAAGAATGATATCCACTTTTAACAATAGAGTTTATATAAAATCTATATCCATTGGCTGTTGAGGAATATCCGAATGGAAATCTAGTTTCTATTTTTTCTTCGTCCAAATCAACAATAATTGGACCAAAATCATATAATTGAATATCATTAAATCCATATGCTATTGTCAGTAAACCTCCTTTATATTCATCTAATTCTCCAGTAGATGGTAGATTTTGAATTTTATCTATTTTTATAATTTAAAAATAAAAAATTAATATTAAATTTTTTAAAAAATTATTTAAAAAAATTTCTATATTTACATGAATTCATTTTTGCATCAATTGAATAGTTTGATTTTTTAACTTCCCCATTGTTAATATAGTAAATACTATAATGTGTCATAGAATCATAGGTCGATGGTGCATACAAAAAAGTTGTACTATGTTTGTCACCATAAATTGGTTTGAATTGGGTATAATATAATTGATCGTTAACATTTATCTCAAATAAACTTGAATAAACAGAGTTGTTTAGTTTGAATTCGATAACTGCACCTTCATTATAACCAAATGTTTCTAAACTATTTAAATATTTAACATCTGGATATGTTTTAATATCATAAACTTTATCGAAAATACCTAAATATAAAAGTTTTATGTATAAAATATTTTAATAAAAAAGTTATTTTATTTTTTTTATTTATTAAACCTTTACCTTTACCAATTGGTTCCAATACAAAATCTTTTACATTATTATTACTTGTAATTTGTACACTTATTGGAGAAAGAGGAGCCATTTGTAAAATTACTACTCTTAATTCAAAAAAATTAGTCCCTAGTATGTTATAAAAATAATAAGTAGAGTAGAAACTAATATTTTCTAGAGAAGCCTGTGGATCAAAATCACCTTCCATTTTATATAATCTGAGGTACATATTACAATTGAAATCTAATAATGGTTTATAATAAGCATCACCAAATGGTTTAAAAGAAATGCTATTTAAATCAAGCTCTGTTTTTTTTTAAATAAAATTAACATCAAAGATATAATCAAACCTCTATATGTTTATTTTTTTATATTTACCTAAACACTCGCTTTTAAAAGTAAATGTTGAATTGATTGTATTGGAATAATTGCCAATTGGTGTGTTTAAAGTAATATCGATAACTGTTGCTGTTCCATTACTAATTTTGTCACCCAATTTAACATATTGTGGTTCATTAAATTCTAAATTGTCACAATCATCCTCAGGAGATTCTTCCACACACAAAACTTTATATCTAAATTCACAAGTTGTTGCTGATGCATATTTTTTTGAAAATCTGTTTTCAAAAACAATTTCTTCAATTATAGAAGCCTGTACTAATTTTATTGAAAGTATAATTATTAAAAATAATAAAATTTTATTTTTTATATTCATTTTAAAAATAAAATATATCCTTATTTTAAAAAATAAAATAATAGAAAAAAATTATCTTAATGTAAAAAAAATATAGTTTTGGTAAATGTTTAATAAAAAAACTTTAAAATTCAAAAAAATAAAAAAAATAAAATTGGTGTTCTGCGAAAAACTAAAAAATTTAAAAAAAAAAAAAAAACGAAAGGGATATTCATATGTTTATTTTTTAAAACATACTTATTATTTCACGATATTTATGATAATAACAAATATAAGAGTATTGTTAATATTCCCATTCTTTTAATTGATTTTTTTTATGTAAAAAATAAAAAAAAGTTAAAAATGAAATGAAAATGAATGATTGAGCACATGAAAATATTTAAAGAAAAAAAAAAAAAAAAAATAATCATTCTTCTGACATTTATTTCATCAGCTTTATTTTGTTATAATTGTATTCCAAACTTCACCAATAGTGTCTTTAAAAAATATTAAAATTTTTTATAAAAATTGATAATTAATTAAAGAGAGTTCATATAAAAATATATAACAATCGGGATTTATATATTTTTCCCAATAATTGAAAAGTTCTTTTTAAAAACAAATGCATAAAATTTAATATTATTAAATTTTTAAAAAATAGTTTATTTTATCAATATTTGAATCCACATAATAATAAAATATAAATAAAAATAAAAAAAATATTTTTAAAATTTTAATTATTTATAATTTATTTTCTCTCATTTCAGTCATTTTATTGTTGATCTTTTCGATCATTTTTTTATCTTTTTGTTTTTTCTTTATATTATATATAATGCATAAAGCAACTACAATGACAAAAGCAAAACCACCTATCACAATACCAGCAATTTTACCAGCACTCAATGATTTATTTGCACAAATTGATGATGCAGAGTATTGATCAAGTAATATAGAAAAATCTGTTTAAAAAATAAAAAAAATATTAATATTCTATGGTTGTAGGTATTATTATAGTAAAACTACTTACCAGGATCGAGGATAACCTTTTTGGTATAGTATGGAATTCTTAAACCAATATATGATTGGACTGAAGATGGTTTGGTAATTGCTTTCATACTAGAATCTAATAAAACATTTGAAATCGAACGAACTGTTGAATCAACGTAACCTCTTCTAACAAATCTACCATATAATGAATAGTCTTTAACTTTAATCTTTAGATAGTTAGAGTTATCACCTCCTGCAGTTTCACCAAATTCTTTTGATGAACATACACCATCGGATGTACTTGAGTTAAATTGTGCTGACATGATTAACTCTAGTCCGTTTAAGGTACTGTCGAAAGGATATTCTAAGATTTCAATTGTATATTTTAGAGTTGATGGGTTCATGGTTAGCTCTTCATTTGCAAATATAACTGTTGTTTTATTAACAAACCATTTTAAGGTTACTTTTACATTTGTTACGATGATATCATTTTTGTTGTTAGTTGTGTTTAATTTATTATAAAAATCGTATGTATATGGTTCAGTTTCTATTGAGGTCCAAGTATCTTCAAATGGATAAAGTTTTACAGTTTCACCATTAATATTAGTTTCTTTTAAAGCAACAATCGAAATTAACGAAGAATAAGTAACAGGATTTGTAGAGTTTTTATCTGGTACAGTAATCTCGATTGATGGGCCAGAGTTATTGCCTCCAATAACTGGTGGGTCAACAATTACAATTTGTGATGAGCAATCTTTACCAAACCATGGTGAAATACATAAACAGCCTTTATTTTCGACACATGTACCATGTGATGGGCCACCACAAACTGGATTTCCTAAACATGTTTGAGGTGCATTGGTTGGGATTGGAGTAGTTGGGGTATCTGAACTATCTTTTTTATTCAATGGAATATAAAAGTCATAAACAGTTGGTTTAATCTCTAATATATTGGAGTCTAATGATGATTTTTTGATATATACACTATATGGTTTATCAGTTGCTTTCACATTTTTAATTAGAAGTGCTGTTGAATAATAAAGTGATGGGATTTTAGTTTCAGTTTTACCATCACTATAGGTAATATAGGCTTCTGAATTTCCATTTAAATTTTGACCAAAAATCCATAAATCTCCACCTTTTTCTGTAATCAAACCATGAGATAATAAAACTGTATTTAATGTAAAGCTTGTTCTAATATTATAAACTATATCTAAACCTAAATTTAGTTTTAGATCCATAAGATCATTGGTAGAATAGCCATTAAATAAACCATTATTATTGATAAAACCATAAACTGATATAATAATATTATCTTTGTAACCAAAACCGAATGGTATTTGTAATGTGCATGAATAGGAAGCCTTTTGGTTATCAATTGAAATAATAGAAGATATACATTCAATAATTCTATTGTTTGAAGTACTTAAATAGACAATTGGATATGTATTATTCTTTAAACCACTTTCAGGATCTGATGCTGTAAAACTAATAGTAAATGCTCTATCTTTACTTCCAACATCAATTGTTTGAGATGATACTGTTAGTGAATTTAATTCTGGTGGAGTTGTGTCTAATGAGACTATTTCATCACTTTTGCATGTAAGGAAGACTTTATTAATACTTGGTTCATTTAAAAAGTACATAAATGGGTTTAAAGTTGCTGATACTGGATTTGGAGATGTCAATGAAAAATATGAAAATCTTTTGATTTTATCATATAAACCAACCTCGCTAATTTTGTAATTTTGACTTATACAAGGGTATGAAATTTTGATTATAAAATCATATTCACCCAAGAATTCATCACCGCCTGCTTTTACATCTTTTGCTGTGAATGTTATGTTATAAATAGACTGGTCAACTTCACCTCTAATTGTTACATATCCTGATTCGAAACCATTTATTGGATCTTCAATACTGATACTCCACCCAATTTGACCAATGTTATTGTTTTTATCAATAGTTATTGGTGATATTTTTTTTATATCTTTAAACATTGGTCCTTGTAAATCTAAATTTGATTTTTTAATTTTTAATTTTGTATCTAAAGCTTGGTAAGTGATAACCATTGTTGAAATATATAAATCAAAATTAAATTCATTTAGTTGTGTATTACATTCTACATAAAACTCTAATTCGAATAGTTTTAAATCTTCATTAAATCTTGAATAGAATATATTCACATTAGTGGTTGAAGTATAAACAGGGTTGCTAAGAATTGTTGCATCACGAATTATAAGCCCAACAGATCTATCTTTTGGTATTTCCGAGCTATTAAAGTACAATACATTATGGTGTCTGTGATTTGAAATATCAATATCATTATATAAAAATGAAACTTGTTTTATTGATTGGAAATTAACTGAAATATGAATAATAGTTTTAAATTAATATAATATTTTTAATTTTTTCTAAATAATTTTTTATATATTTACAATTTTCTATTTCATATGGATTAATAAAAGGTTTAAGTCCTTTGGTAGTGCTAATAACCTTATCAGCTTCTAAAATTTCAACATTTTTAAACTCATCATATATCTCCAAGTGACTAAGAGAGACATCCAGAATAATTTCGTATATACCTTGATTTAAATCTCCTGAAACCAAAGCTTCAACTCCATAGTAATTTCTTTTATTAGTATTATCTTTAATATAATAAAGTGAGTTTTGTGCACTAATTTCTAATCTTAGTAAATACATTTCTTTTTCCAAATGAATTATTTCAAAATCTAAAATTTTTGGGCCGTTAATATTTCCAATTTCTATTTTTAAATAATAAATAATTAGATTTTAACATTAATAGAAATATTTTTAAAAAACTTTATAAATACCATTGAAATTGTAACTTAAATAATTCACTTGCGGAAATACTCTTGATTTTAATGAAACATATCCAAACTGCAAAGAAAGATATCCACTTTTAACAATAGAGTTTATATAAAATCTATATCCATTGGCTGTTGAGGAATATCCGAATGGAAATCTAGTTTCTATTTTTTCTCCGTCCAAATCAACAATAATTGGACCAAAATCATATAATTGAATATCATTAAATCCATATGCTATTGTCATTAAACCTCCTTTATATCCATTAAATTCTCCAGTAGATGGTAGATTTTGAATTTTATCTATTTTTATAATTTAAAAATAAAAAATTAATATTAAATTTTTAATAAAATTATTTAAAAAAATTTCTATATTTACATGAATTCATTTTTGCATCAATTGAATAGCCTGATTTTTTAACTTCCCCATTGTTAATATAGTAAATACTATAATGTGTCATAGCATCATAGGTCGATGGTGCATACAAAAAAGTTGTACTATGTTCGTCACCGTAAATTGGTTTGAATTGGGTATAATAAAATTGATCATTTACATTTATCTCAAATAAACTTGAATAAACAGAGTTGTTTAGTTTGAATTCGATAACTGCACCTTCATTATAACCAAATGTTTCTAAACTATTTAAATATTTAACATCTGGATATGTTTTAATATCATAAACTTTATCGAAAATACCTAAATATAAAAGTTTTATGTATAAAATATTTTAATAAAAAAGTTATTTTATTTTTTTTATTTATTAAACCTTTACCTTTACCAATTGGTTCCAATACAAAATCTTTTACTTTATTATTACTTGTAATTTGTACACTTATTGGAGAAAGAGGAGCCATTTGTAAAATTACTACTCTTAATTCAAAAAAATTAGTCCCTGGTATGTTATAAAAATAATAAGTAGAGTAGAAACTAATATTTTCTAGAGAAGCCTGTGGATCAAAATCACCTTCCATTTTATATAATCTGAGGTACATATTACAATTGAAATCTAATAATGGTTTATAATAAGCATCACCAAATGGTTTAAAAGAAATGCTATTTAAATCAAGCTCTGTTTTTTTTTAAAATAAAATTAACATCAATGATATAATCAAATCTCTATAAGTCTATTTATTTATATTTACCTAAACACTCGCTTTTAAAAGTAAATGTTGAATTGATTGTATTGGAATAATTGCCAATTGGTGTGTTTAAAGTAATATCGATAACTGTTGCTGTTCCATTACTAATTTTGTTACCCAATTTAACATATTGTGGTTCATTAAATTCTAAATTGTCACAATCATCCTCAGGAGATTCTTCCACACACAAAACTTTATATTTAAATTCACAAGTTGTTTTTGATGCATATTTTTTTGAAATTCTGTTTTCAAAAACAATTTCTTCAATTATAGACCCCTGTACTAATTTTATTGAAAGTATAATTATTAAAAATAATAAAATTTTATTTTTTATATTCATTTTAATTTTAAAAATAAATTATTATTTTACAAATAAACAAAAAAACTTTTAGTTTTTAAAAAAATAAAAAATAGTCTTTTCGTTTTAAAAAAAATAAAATAAAAACTTTTTATTATGTTCAGTGGTTCAAAAAACCGAATCTAGATTGTTTAAGTGGTATCCAGGGAAAAAAGTTCCCACCCTGCATAAAAAAAAAATTTATTTTTTTTAATTTTTTGAAAATTTATTTTTTTTTTTTGTAATTTAAACAGAAAATGTTAATTTTTTATTTTATATTTTTCTTCATTATTAAATTTAAAAATAATAAACTATTATTTTATCAATATTTGAATCCAGATAATTATAATATAAAAATAAAAATAAAAATAAAAATAAAAATAAAAATAAAAATAAAAATAAAAATAAAAATAAAAAAAAAAAAAAAATATTTTTAAAATTTTAATTATTTATAATTTATTTTCTTTCATTTCAGTCATTTTATTGTTGATCTTTTCGATCATTTTTTTATCTTTTTGTTTTTTCTTTATATTATATATAATACATAAAGCAACTACAATGACAAAAGCAAAACCACCTATCACAATACCAGCAATTTTACCAGCACTTAATGATTTATTTGCACAAATTGATGATGCAGAGTATTGATCAACTAATATAGAAAAATCTGTTTAAAAAATAAAAAAAATATTAATAATCTATGGTTGCGGGTATTATTATAGTAAAACTACTTACCAGGATCGAGGATAACCTTTTTGGTATAGTATGGAATTCTTAAACCAATATATGATTGGACTGAAGATGGTTTGGTAATTGCTTTCATACTAGAATCTAATAAAACATTTGAAATCGAACGAACTGTTGAATCAACGTAACCTCTTCTAACAAATCTACCATATAATGAATAGTCTTTAACTTTAATCTTTAGATAGTTAGAGTTATCACCTCCTGCAGTTTCACCAAATTCTTTTGATGAACATACACCATCGGATGTACTTGAGTTAAATTGTGCTGACATGATTAACTCTAGTCCGTTTAAGGTACTGTCGAAAGGATATTCTAAGATTTCAATTGTATATTTTAGAGTTGATGGGTTCATGGTTAGCTCTTCATTTGCAAATATAACTGTTGTTTTATTAACAAACCATTTTAAGGTTACTTTTACATTTGTTACGATGATATCATTTTTGTTGTTAGTTGTGTTTAATTTATTATAAAAATCGTATGTATATGGTTCAGTTTCTATTGAGGTCCAAGTATCTTCAAATGGATAAAGTTTTACAGTTTCACCGTTAATATTAGTTTCTTTTAAAGCAACAATCGAAATTAACGAAGAATAAGTAACAGGATTTGTGGAGTTTTTATCTGGTACAGTAATCTCGATTGATGGGCCAGAGTTATTACCTCCAATAACTGGTGGGTCAACAAATACAATTTGTGATGAGCAATCTTTACCAAACCATGGTGAAATACATAAACAGCCTTTATTTTCGACACATGTACCATGTGATGGGCCACCACAAACTGGATTACCTAAACATGTTTGAGGTGCATTGGTTGGGATAGGAGTAGTTGGGGTATCTGAACTATCTTTTTTATTCAATGGAATATAAAAGTCATAAACAGTTGGTTTAATCTCTAATATATTGGAGTCTAATGATGATTTTTTGATATATACACTATATGGTTTATCAGTTGCTTTCACATTTTTAATTAGAAGTGCTGTTGAATAATAAAGTGATGGGATTTTAGTTTCAGTTTTACCATCGCTATAGGTAATATATGCTTCTGAATTTCCATTTAAATCTTGACCAAAAATCCATAAATCTCCACCTTTTTCTGTAATTAAACCATGAGATAATAAAACTGTATTTAATGTAAAGCTTGTTCTAATATTATAAACTATATCTAAACCTAAATTTAGTTTTAGATCCATAAGATCATTGGTAGAATAGCCATTAAATAAACCATTATTATTGATAAAACCATAAACCGATATAATAATATTATCTTTGTAACCAAAACCGAATGGTATTTGTAATGTGCATGAATAAGAAGCCTTTTGGTTATCAATTGAAATAATAGAAGATATACATTCAATAATTCTATTGTTTGAAGTACTTAGATAGACAATTGGATATGTATTATTCTTTAAACCACTTTCCGGATCTGATGCTGTAAAACTAATAGTAAATGCTCTATCTTTACTTCCAACATCAATTGTTTGAGATGATACTGTTAGTGAATTTAATACTGGTGGAGTTGTGTCTAATGAGACTATTTCATCACTTTTGCATGTAAGGAAGACTTTATTAATAATTGATTCATTTAAAAAGTACATAAATGGGTTTAAAGTTGCTGATAATGGATTTGGAGATGTTATTGAAAAATATGAAAATCTTTTGATTTTATCATATAAACCAACCTCGCTAATTTTGTAATTTTGACTTATACAAGGGTATGAAATTTTGATTATAAAATCATATTCACCCAAGAATTCATCACCGCCTTCTTTTACATCTTTTGCTGTGAATGTTATGTTATAAATAGACTGGTCAACTTCACCTCTAATTGTTACATATCCTGATTCGAAACCATTTATTGGATCTTCAACACTAATACTCCACCCAATTTGACCAATGTTATTATGTTTATCAATAGTTATTGGTGATATTTTTTTTATATCCTTAAATATTGGTCCTTGTAAATCTAAATTTGATTTTTTAATTTTTAATTTTGTATCTAAAGCTTGATATGTGATAGCAATATTTGAAATATATAAATCAAAATTAAATTCATTTAGTTGTGTATTACATTCTACATAAAACTCTAATTCGAATAGTTTTAAATCTTCATTATATCTTGAATAGAATATATTCACATAGGTGTATGAAGTATAAACAGGGTTGCTAAGAATTGTTGCATCACGAATTATAAGCCCAACTAATCCATCTTTTGGTATTTCCGAGCTATTAAAGTACAATACATTATGGTGTCTGTGATTTGAAATATCAATATCATTATATAAAAATGAAACTTGTTTTATTGATTGGAAATAAGCTGAAATATGAACAATAGTTTTAAATTAATATAAGTTTTTTAATTTTTTCTATATAATGTTTATATATTTACAATTTTTTGTTTTATATGGATTAATAAAAGGTTTAAGTCCTTTGGTAGTGCTTATAATCATATCAGTTATTATACTTTCAAAATTACTAAACTCATCATATATCTCCAAGTGAATAGGAGGGACATCCAGAATAATTTCGTATATACCTTGATTTAAATCTCCTGAAACCAAAACTTCCACTCCATAGTAATTTCTATTATTAGTTTTATCTTTAATATAATAAAGTGAGTTTTGTGCACTAATTTCTAATCTTAGTAAATACATTTCTTTTTCCAAATGAATTATTTCAAAATCTAAAATTTTTGGGCCGTTAATATTTCCAATTTCTATTTTTAAATAATAAATAATTAGATTTTAACATTAATAGAAATATTTTTAAAAAACCTTATAAATACCATTGAAATTATAATTTGAAGAAATCACTTGTTGTGGAAATACTCTTGATTTTAATGAAATAGATCCAACTTGCCAAAAACGATATCCACTTTTAACAATAGAGTTTATATAAAATCTATATCCATTGGCTGTTGAGGAATATCCGAATGGAAATCTAGTTTCTATTTTTTCTCCGTCCAATTCAACAATAATTGGACCAAAATCATATAATTGAATATCATTAAATCCATATGCTATTGTCATTAAACCTCCTTTATATTCATCTAATTCTCCAGTAGATGGTAGATTTTGAATTTTATCTATTTTTATAATTTAAAAATAAAAAATTAATATTAAATTTTTTAAAAAATTATTTAAAAAAATTTCTATATTTACATGAATTCATTTTTGCATCAATTGAATAGTTTGATTTTTTAACTTCCCCATTGTTAATATAGTAAATACTATAATGTGTCATAGCATCATAGGTCGATGGTGCATACAAAAAAGTTGTACTATGTTCGTCACCATAAATTGGTTTGAATTGGGTATAATATAATTGATCGTTAACATTTATCTCAAATAAACTTGAATAAACAGAGTTGTTTAGTTTGAATTCGATAACTGCACCTTCATTATAACCAAAAGTTTCTAAACTATTTAAATATTTAACATCTGGATATGTTTTAATATCATAAACTTTATCGAAAATACCTAAATATAAAAGTTTTATGAATAAAATATTTTAATAAAAAAGTTTTTTTATTTTTTTTATTTATTAAACCTTTACCTTTACCAATTGGTTCCAATACAAAATCTTTTACATTATTATTACTTGTAATTTGTACACTTATTGGAGAAAGAGGAGCCATTTGTAAAAACGCTACTCTTAATTCAAAAAAATTAGTCCCTAGTATGTTATAAAAATAATAAGTAGAGTAGAAACTAATATTTTCTAGAGAGGCCTTTGGATCAAAATCACCTTCCATTTTATATAATCTGAGGTACATATTACAATTGAAATCTACTATTGGTTTATAATAAGCATCACCAAATGGTTTAAAAGAAATGCTATTTAAATCAAGCTCTGTTTTTTTTAAAATAAAATTAACATTAATGATATAATCAAAACTCTTTATGTCTATTTATTTATTTTTACCTAAACACTCGCTTTTAAAAGTAGATGTTGAATTGATTGTATTGGAATAATTGCCAATTGGTGTGTTTAAAGTAATATCGATAACTGTTGCTGTTCCATTACTAATTTTGTCACCCAATTTAACATATTGTGGTTCTTTAAATTCTAAATTGTCACAATCATCCTCAGGAGATTCTTCCACACACAAAACTTTATATTTAAATTCACAAGTTGTTGTTGATGAATATTTTTTTGAAAATCTGTTTTCAAAAACAATTTCTTCAATTATAGACGCCTGTACTAATTTTATTGAAAGTATAATTATTAAAAATAATAAAATTTTATTTTTTATATCCATTTTAAAATTATAAATAAATAATATTATTATTTTACATATAAAAAAAACTTTTAGGTTTTAAAAAAAAAAAAAAAAAATTGTCACTGTGTTGTATTTGAATAAAAAATTTTGATAATGCTGAGTGGTTTTAAAAAGCGGAATCTTGATCGTTTAATGGGTATCCAAAAAAGTTTCCCATCTCGGCTGGAAAAAAAAGATTTTTATAGAGAATGGATATTTTTCATAAATTTAAAAAAAATACGTCATGTGAAAAAAAATTATAAATAAAAATTAAAAAATTAAAAAATAAATAAATTTATTCCACTTTTTCTTTATTATTTTTAATATTTAAAGGTTCTAATATTCTAATTAACTGATCCAATAAGTCTGATCTTGTAACAATACCTTCTAATTTACCATCTTCATCTACTACAGGCATACCATTTATTTGATGTACTAACATTTCTTTTGCGCATTGTATTACTCTTTCGCCGTGATGTGCCTTTTTATACAACATTGGGTCAACTAAAATATCTTTTACTTTTTTTTTTTTTTTTTATTTTTTTTTTTAAATATAATATTAAAAAAAAATGTTATATATATAAAATATTATTAATAACTACTTACCTTGGTAGGATTCTAAACTGTCTAAAATATCTTTTAGATCGTGTTCAAAAATACTCTTTGAATAGGATCTTAAATCTTTATCAGTGACCACACCTAAAAGATTATAGTTTTCGTCTACAACCGGTAATCTCTTGTATCCTTCACGAATTAATATCTCTAAAACATGTTTCAATGTATCTGTTGGTTTAACCCCAATGATTTTTCTTGACATTATATCTTCAACCCTAGCATTATATTCTATTTTTTGGTCCTTTGATAAAATATTATCCATTTTTTAAAAATATGAATTATAATTTCTTAATAAAAATAAATTATAAAATTAAAATATTAAAAAAATTTATATTTTAAAAAATTAAAAAAAATTAAAAATTAATTTCAAAGCAAAATAAAAAATAATAATAAAAAAAATTTAAAAAGTGTGTGTTTACAATTTGATAATTTTTAAAAAATAATTTAAATTTTATTTATATTAAAACTATTTATATTCTAATACTATATAGAATATATTTTATATTATAAATTAATATTAAATAATTTTTTAGATACTTTTTTTTTTTTTTTTTTGTTATTTATGCATACATTTATTTTTATTTTTTATAAATAATATAGTTTATTTTTAATTTGATGGTTTCCAAATTTTAATTGATTTATCGACACTACCAGAGAAAAGGAATTCTTTTCCAGAGGATATCATACAAGTAATTGAAGAATCGTGACCAACCAAGAGGTTATTTGAAGTAAAGTTAGGATCCCAACCTTTTATATTTGAGTCCTTTCCACCAGAGAAAACCGTTCCGTTATGGATACATAAACAATTGACCCAATCGTTGTGAGCATTGTTTAATAATCTGGTTTGTTGGAATTGATTACTTACAAAGAGTGTATCAGTGGATGTTTTAAGATTTGGTGGTACTTGTTGAGCCTGTTGTTGTGGAAGTAAACTATTGCTATTATTATTTAAAGTATTTGTTGGTATAGTTTCAATTGGATTGGTATTTGATAGATTTAAAATGTTTGATGAGGATATTTCCCATTTCTTAATTGATTTATCTCTACTACCACTATAGATTACATCATCCAATACTGCTATGCTTGTAACACCATCATGGTGAGGAGGTTGAAGTTTTTGAGCCAATACAAAACTATCACGATGGAATAAATTTATAGTATGATCTCTACTGGCAGTAACTAAATATTTGGAAGTTGTTGACATTGAAAAAATACTGCCGCTGTGATGAGATATTGTTGTTAAGGGTGTTTTAAGTGGTTTTTGCATGTGACGTATATCCCAAACCTTAAATGTACCATTTTCTAAACCAGCCACTACATAGTTGCCATAGGTAACCAATGATGTTACATCACTTGGTGTTTTAAAAATTGATAGATTTGCATTGGATGGTGATCTAATATCCCAGACCTTTACAATTCTTTCGGAACCCCCACTAAACATAAAGCCAGATGATTGATTTACACATAATGATCTTACAGGACCTGGACTAGAAAGATCCATCATATTATCACCAGTATTTAAATCCCAAAGCTTAATGTTTTTATCTGAACCACCACTATATAATATCTTTGGATTTTGTTCATCAAGAGTCAATGTTAAAAGACTTCCATCATGTCCATTAAAAGTCCAGTTGCAACGAAGAAAGTTTTCATTTGGATCGTGGGTGTTCTTTTTAATTGCCAATAAATAATCGTCAATATTTAATTTGTCTCTATATTTCTTTAATCTAGAATCTGGTCTAGGTTGTGATGATAGTCTTGTAAATACATCATTGCTTAAACTACCGGTACTACCAGTGCTACTATTTATACTACTGCCACCAGGATTTGAACTACTGTTGCCTTCAGCCAAACCAATTGGTGAGTTTTGAAGTGAAATAGTTTTCTTATGTTTATGAGTTGGTGATAGTGTACCTTTCTTTAAAGTGGAATCTAAAGCAATATCGGTATCTAGGAAATCTTTATCAAATACTGAATGATCTAAAATATTATCATCCAACGATGTCACAAGTAATGAAGGTGATGAGATATTTAATGGTGCAATATTCTTTGATGGATGATTTAAATTATTTGGTAATGATTGACTACTTAAAGGTGATGAAGTGGTTATTGGTTGTGGACTAACTAAAATTGGTGTAAAACCACTATTATTATTATTACCACTACTATTATTATTCATTGGTGGATAGCCATTTAATAAACGATTTTTTTCTCTTTTCTCTTTATCTAATTTAATTTCTTCCAATAATTGATCTAGTTTTTGACCTAAACTACTTGTACTTGGAGATGAGTAATCTTGAGGTGTAGTTGTTTCTGATATAATAGCTGGTTGTGATGGTAGTTGTTGTAATTGTTTCTGTGGTAGTTGATTTGGTTTATTATTAATTTCATTTGTTATATTTACATTGGTATTTATATTTTCACTATTTTTTCTTTCTAATTTGGCTGCTTTTATTCCTTCCATTAAAGCAAAAGAGCTACTTCTTTGCTCTAAAGCTTGTTCAGATATTGGAGGATGAATTGGTTGAATATTGGTTGTATTTTGCGATAATGGTGGAGGCATGGTATTTGAGGTAGATAATAAAGATGATGGTGATGGTGATGATTTACTTAGATTATTTAAAATTTGTTGATTCTTTCTATTTAATTCAGCATATTCTATACAAAGCTCTAAAGCAGACTGAATTAATTTTGGAAGTTTATCAAAACTGGTGTTACTAACCATTCTAAGAATTTCAGGGGCATCTAAACAATCATTTGATATAATAGCCAATTGGGTTTGAGATTTACTAATTTTTTCGTTTTGATTTTTAATATTTTGTTCAAGGAATTGTGATTGTTCGTTATATTCTGCTTTACTTAATTTTGGTGGTGTACTTGTGAATGCTTTCTTTAAATCGTTTGATTGTCTAACGAAAAGCTCTTTATTTTTAAAATCTTTTTGTAATAATTCCTGTAATTCATTTCTTTCTAAATTCTTTTGAATTTGATTAATAATCCATTCTCTCCAATATGGTTCAGCAATTGATTTTCTGAGAGGTTTTTTATTTGTTCCTGATGCTGTTGATGATGATGAGGAAAACAATGATGAAACAGGTGGTTTGGTTGATGAGGGTTTAATAGGTTGAATTACACGTTGTTTATGAGTTTCAATATCTTTTAATTTCCTTTTATATGATTCTGATTCATCAATTTTCTTTTGAAGTAATAAATCTTTCTTTTTGGACTGGTTCTTTAATTGGTCAATAATGACTCCAGACTTTCTTGCCTCTCTTTTAAGAGATTCTAATTCTTTGGCTTGGTGTTGTTTGGCATCATCACGTTTCTTTAGTTCATCTCTCATTTTCTTTAATAGATCTGATTTTTGTCTCTTGGTATCTTTGATATCTTGTTGAAGTGAGTCAATCTTCTCTTCACTCTTTCTCTTTAGATCCAACAAACGTTGATAATCTTTTTTATTTGAGCCAGAGTGTTGATCTAATTGGGACTTTAATTCGTTAATCTTCTTTTCATAGAATTGAGTAAGACGATATTTCTCATCCTCATAGGATGCAACTTTTTCATTACCAATTGTATTGTCTTTTTCTAATGCTTTTAATGCTTGATCCTTCTCTTCCCTAACTTCCTCCAATTGGCTCTCTAACTCTTTTAATTTTTGGTCAAATTGTTCCTTCATCTGTTGATATTGATGCTTTGTTTTTGATATTAATTCTAACTCTTCTTCCTTTTCAGTAATATATTGACTTAAATCTGATAACTCTTCGCTATCATCTTCAAAAAACTCTATTCCTTCATTTGGATTTTGATTTTGATCTTGTTGAGGTTGGTCATCAAGTTGCTGTTGATTTGTATTATTTAGTGCTGAATTAAACTGTTCGAATACCTCATTAAAAAATGTTTGATCTTTATTGGGTGAAAAATTATTTATAAAATTATATGCAAGCTCCTCCAATTGTTTATTCTTATTCGCCAATGCTTTATATTTGCTGGTAACCTTATTTGAAATATCTTCGAGCATATTGTTTTCAAATTCTAATTGTGAAACTTTCATATTTAAATCAAAAATTTCCTTTTCTTTTTCTTTATCGATTGAGTTATTAACGACAACATTATTGGTTTGATGTTGATGAGCTTGTTGTTGATTACTATTATTGTTATTTGGTTTTGACCTATTTATTGGTGCAGTTGCAGATGATGATGATAAAGATGAACTTGATCTACTTGGTCTAAATCCACTATTACCACTACTATTATTACTATTGCTATTATTATTATTATTACTAATATTTGAGGAGGGTAGGGATGCTGGTTTAATTTCTATAGTTGTAGTTGGCATTTGAGAAAGTATTGTGTGAATATCTAAATCTCTACAAGAGCATTTCTCTAATGTATCTTTTAAAAGTTGAATTTGGGCTTTATATAAAATAATTTGTTGTGTTACAGGATCTATATTTACAACTGGTTTATTCATAATATTTCTTGCTCTATATGCATATTTAAGTGTCTAAAATATAAGAAAAAATAGTTTTAGTATATAAATTATTAAAAAAAATAATGGTCAATTTTAAACATATTTCATACATTAAGGGTCTCTTCAAAATTTGAATCAGCAGGACTAACACAGGCCACCATTAAAGTTTTAGAATTACCACCAAGCGAGGATTGGAGCATACGAGTTAGTTTTGAATCTCTATATGGAATATGTTTTGCTTTATTGTTCAGCTTTCTAGTGTCACCCAAAGCACTAATAACGTTACCTAGTGCCAACAAACCACTATTGATATTGATACCTTCTTTTAAACGTTGACCCTCTGCTTTAGTTTTCTTTACTCTTTCGCTACCTGCTAAATCTACAAAATGAAACATTGATCTTATTGAGGGGTTTCTTTCATCCATCGACATATCCTCGTCATCTAAATCGATCTCCTCGACAACTGTAGTGCCTCCACCATCTATACTGTCGTTACTATTATCTTTTTTTAAAGGTAAACAATTACCATCTAGAGAAGGGGTTGTTGTTGTTCTGGTTATATGTGGTGAGTTTATTGGTGTTTGTTCGACTATAATTGAAAAAATTGCATGTGATCTACTACTGTGTATATTCATTAATGTTGAGCCAACAGTTCTTGATTGTGAACCTCTAATAAGTGCATCTTCCATCTGTTTTCTTGATCTAACAACTTCTTCAACTAAACCAGGTATATAAACTTCTCCATTTGATTTTTCACGTATAGGTAATCCACCTGGTGCTGGATACGGATTTAACATATCTCTAATTTCTTCGTTATATAATTCTAAAAATGAAACTTTTAATACAATTTGATGAGTATCTTTTTTACTCTCCAGTTTATCGAATACTAAATCTATAACTCTTGGGATTACACCTAAATCTTCTGAATCTATACCAACTGTACTAGTGCTACCCATTGTATGAGTTTTACCTAAATAACAAAATAATTGTTAATTAAATGTTCTATATATCTCCAATATTAATATTAATAATAAATACCTGAGCCAGTTTGACCATATGCTAAAATTGTCGAGTTATAACCTTCAAATAAACTATCTACAAGGCCATATACACACTGATCAAAAATTTCTTCTTGTTTAGATTTTCCATTAAATACATAATCAAATGTAAAGGTTTGATCTTTATCACCTATAATAACTTGGGGTTCATTATCTACATATTTTACAACTTCCACTGATCTTTCATTAATTTCTTTTGTTGATAAAGGCCTAACTCTTAATGCTACTCTGACACAATTTTCATTATGTTCTTCATTATTATTTGACATTTTATAAATTATTAATTATTAAGCTATCTATTATTTATTTTTATTATTGTTTATTATTACTAATACAATTTTTAGATTAAATATTTTTATATAATAATTTTTTTATTATTATAGTTTTTTTTTTTTTTTTTTTATTAATTTAATAAAAGGTCATCTTTTTTAATTTTATAACAATTTAAAAAAAAATTTATTATTATAAATATATATAATAATAAATAATGTTGAATTTATCACTTTTATATGGTATATTAAACTCTATGCGAATTGTGTGTTAAAAGTGTTTTTATTTTTTTTTTTTTTTATTTTGTTTTTATTTTATTTTTTCTTTTTTATTTATTTTAATTGAATTATTAATTTGCTATATTTATTCAAATTATTATTATTATTATGGAATGTTTTATGTGTGTTTAATTAAGGGCGTGTGGTGTAGGAATATATAAAATATGTGTGTGTTTATAAAAATTTTAAAGTGGGTGTGTTTGGTGCAGTAATAAAAGTATATATATATATAAAACTGATATGTTGTTTAAAATAAAATACAATACCCAAAATAAAAACAAACAATAAATTCTTTACGAAACACCAAACAAATAAATATAATTATATACAGTGTAAAATAAATAAAAGTTTTTCGTTGTAGGAAGGTAAAAAAAAAAAATCAAAAAATAATATTTATTTGTTTTGATAAAAAAAAAAATTTTAAAAAAAGAAAAAAAAATTATAAAAAAATTAAAAAAAATATTTTTTACCCTTTTTTTTATTTTATTTTTTTTTTTTTGGGTTTTTTTGTTTTAACAAATTTGTTCTTTTGGTAATCAATTATTATATTTTTATTTAAAATAATCAAATTATTAATAATCTCAATAAAAATTTCAAAATGACTTTTCATTAAACACTCCCAATGTAATCATTATTGATTATATATATTCTAATCAAATAATTATAAATAAAAAATAATATCAATAAAATGACCAAATCAATTAAATTAAAATTTTACATACTGCCAATTTGATGGCAATCAATCTTCACAAAAAATAGACAAACTTTGTCTCTGCAACAAAAAATAAAAATATGGATTTCAAATCAATGACAAATGGGGTTTTGATCAAAAGAAATTTCAAGAAACCATTGACCAATTGATTTGTAAAAAAGGCAAAAAATTTGATTTTTTTTTTTTTTTTTGATTTTTTTTTTTTTAAAATTTTTTAATTTTTTTTTTATAATTTAATTGATATACCACAATTTCAAAATATAGAATTGTAATAGCAATAATGACTTGTAATAATGATAATAATAATAAGTTAATAATTTTAATCATGGGTGTTAGTGGAAGTGGTAAAACAACAATAGGTAAAGGAATTGCAGAGAAATTAAATTGTGGGTTTAATGATGCAGATGAATTTCACAGCGAAGCAAACATCAATAAAATGAAATCTGGCATACCTTTGAATGATGATGATAGAAAACCATGGTTAGAAGCAATCAACAAAAGAATGACAGAATTTTTAAATAATAGTACCAGCATTACACACAATCATGTTTTTACATGCTCAGCACTAAAATCAATCTATAGAGAAATCATATCAAATAGCATACCAAAAGATAAAATACTATTTATATTTTTAAAAGGTGACAAGGAGATTTTGGGCGAAAGATTAAACTCTAGACAAGGTCATTTCTTTAACCCTGCTTTATTGGATAGTCAATTAGAGGCATTACAAGAACCAAACGATCAAGATTTGAAAACCAATCATTTCTTAACAATTAATATAAGAAGTTCAGTTGATGAAATTATAAATAATATTTTAAAATTTATAAAAGATCAATTTAACCAATAAATAAAAATAAATAATGAATTTTTATGGTCAATAGTTTTTTTTTTTTTTTTTTTTTTTTAAGAATTTTTTATTTGTCTGGGTGTTTGTTTTTAAAAAATATAAAATATGTTGATGAAATAAATATTATTATTATTATTATTATTATTATTGTTATTTACTATTATCTTTATTTTAAACTTTTTGATAGTCAAGTTTGCTTTCAAGTTTTTTACTATCCATAACTTTACGACAAGCTTTATAAAAGTCTTCTTCAATTACATAATCTCTTTCGGCTCTAATTGCAAACATACCGGCTTCAGTACAAACATTACGTAAATCAGCGGCGTTGAAACTGTCACATAATTTTGATAAAGCATCGTAATCTATATCACCATGTTTAGTGATGGATGAGGCATGGATTTTAAGGACATCAACACGACCGGCTTCGTTTGGAAGAGGGATTTCGATTTTACGATCTAAACGACCTGGACGGAGAAGGGCTGGATCTAAAACATCTGGACGATTTGTAGCCATAATAATTTTAACTTTTTGGAGAGTGTCGAAACCATCCATTTGATTTAATAATTCCATAAGGGTTCTTTGAATTTCACGATCGGCAGATGTACCTTCAGAGAAACGACGACCACCAATAGCATCAATTTCATCCATAAAAATAACACATGGTTGATGATCACGTGCATATCCAAACATTTCACGAATGACACGAGCACTTTCACCAATATATTTATCGACAATGGCTGATGATACAACTTTAAGGAAATTAGCTTCTAAATTTGATGCGATTGCTCTTGCTAATAATGTTTTACCTGTACCTGGTGGACCATATAATAAAACACCTTTTGGTGGTTTAATACCAACACGTACAAACAATTCTGGAATCATTAATGGTAACTCTATAACTTCTCTTAATTCTCTAATTTGATCTGATAAACCACCAATTTCACCATATGATACATTACCTGGTGATTCAGCTGTCATATTGAAAATAATTGGATCGACTTCACGTGGTAAAATCTTTAAAATTGTTAATGTTGTTAAATCTAATGTGACTCTTGCACCTGGTACTAATAAATGTGCTTTATCTTGATAATTGGCACATCTAACAACATATCTTGGACCATTACAAGCTTTAACAATAACTATTTATTAATTTTAAAAAAAAATATTGATGAACACATTTTAAAAAAAATAAAAAAATAAAAAAAAATTTTATATTAGTATATTATTAATTAATATTATTATTTCCAATTATTATTATTATTATGATTTTATTATAATATGAATTATTTATAAATTAATTATTATTGTATGTATATTTGATATATTACATCTTTCTTCATCTAATGATCTTAAAACTTCACCAATTATTTCACCAATATATTGAATAGTTTTTATATGATCTTCTGTCTTTTGGAAATCCTTCTTTAATTTTTTGATTAATTCATGAGCTTTATTTAATCTGAGTTCTGCATTTTTATGTTCAATTAAACGATCTCTGTAATTTTGAAGGGCTTGTTCTTTTTTTGTTTCTTCTGTTGACATTTTTATATTTAGTTATATTTTATACAAGTTATTTAAATAAAAAAAAAAAAAAAACAATATATATACAAAAAAAAAAATTTATATTTGATTTGAGTGTGAAAAAAAAAAATTAATAAATGATAGTGAACAACAAAAAAAAAAATTAAAAAAATTTTTTAAAAAAAAAAATTTATAAAAAAAAATTAAAATTAAAAAAAATAATAAAAAAAAAATAAAATTTTTTTTTTATTAATTATAAAAATACAAAAAAATAAATTAATTTTTTTTTTATTAATTCCAAAAAAAAAAAACTTTTATTTGGTATATCTCTAACTGAATATGTAATTTTATTTAGAATATATATATTTATAGATATAATGCATATGCACCTCCATCTTAATGAGGGATATATTAAACGAAAATATCTCCTGTTGTAAATAGTTTTGTCTGTGTTCCCAAATCAATAATTTTGTCAATGCAATCAGCAGGAACAGAAATGGGTGTAGCGTAGACTTTGTTGCCATTTTTATCGACATCAAAAGTAATAATATTGCATCCATATCCGGCAAAACACTGTGTTCTTAATGAAAATGGAACAGCATCGTCAAATTGGATGTTGTGGTAATCAAAGCTTGTCCAGTTGGTAATAAACGAACTAATAAACATTGGCTTTCCAACATAATCAAACATATTCTCTCCATTTTCTTGTAAACACTTGTAATAGCTGTAATCCTCTTTGAACTGGTCCACTGTGATTGCCAATACACTTTCACGACTGATTTTTGCCAAATCAAGTAAACTCTTTTCTCTTATGTCCTTGACCTTCAATAACATCTTGCCTTGATGAACCAAATAACCAATGGCCTCTTGTCCTAATCCCAATTTAGATCTTAAGTTGATTGAATATCTTATGGTAAAATCTTGGTCATCGGACAAATACGATGTAAAAGTATAGGCTTTAAACAAGATAGCAGTAATAATATCACCCTTTGAAAGAGCTGGACCCCCTTGTGACTTAAATGCATCGACCCTCTTCAAATCAAACATCAAATTAATTTGTGAATTTTTAGAGAAACATTCAGCAACACCACCATCATCAGGAGAAACCGAGTTAGAAATGGGAGTATAGACAATACCTAGTACCGAACCACCATATGCTCTTGCTTCGTTAATATCAGCAAATCTAATGTTTTCGCTATCCAAAGAAATAGAGTCAAACATAAGTGGATTCTTTAATTCTCTTTTCTCTGCACCATATGTATACAAATGCGACAAATATTTACAGAAATAAAAGATACCAGCTTGGTCAAAAAATGTATGGTTCACATTGTACCCAACCACAAAGCCATCACTAAAGACTGTTAACTTTAATGCACCTATCGAAACTCCGTTTAAATCTGGAACAAACCCCATATCTTGTTCAAGACTGATAATCTTCTTTGGTAGTATCATTTCCAATGTAGAACATTCAATGGAATCTTGTCTTTTTTCAATTTCCAATTGCTGTTGGCCATCACTCTCTTTGCTCTTTGGTGGGTAGCATGCATACAACTGTCCATTTTCATCTCTGTATAAAAATGATAAAAAGAAATCGTATTCTATTAATGCATTTCCCATTGCTTTAATAAACCTTTCAACATCTATTTTTCCTTTAAACCACAGTCCACTTCTTAGGAAAATTGAGGAAGGAAAATATCCCAATGGTCCAATCGATTTTTTCCAACTGGCTTTTACAGGATAATATTTAACAGTGTTTGTTTCTTTATTAAATAAATATTTCATTATATAACAACTTTGTAATAAAAATTAACTAAAAATATTTTAATTTAATATTTTTTGTTTTTACTTTTCAAACAAAAAAAATAAAAGTTTAAAAGTGGATAAATTTAAAAGGGGTCAAAAAAAAAAAAAAGTTATTAATTAAAACTACCCCTCAATATAAAAAAGAAAGCATTAAACAGATATATCTTGTGTAAATATATACAGTGTGATTAAATAAAAAACTTTTTTTTTATTTTCTATTTTTGTTATAATAAAATTATTTTTAAATTAAATGATGTTATTGGAGTCATTATTATTGGTGGAATTTGGAGAACTATAATATTAACTAAACCCCTCACATTCTCAGTTTACATATTCGATTCTTTCACCATCTTTAGCGATAATACTTAGTCCTTCATTCTACTTTGTGATATTTAATAGGATCATTATATAATACATTTATTTGGTTTATAGATTTTAAAAAAAATAAAAAAAATAAAATAAAAGTTTAAAAACAGAGAAACTAAAATTTTAAATAAAAGAAAATTAAAATTTAATATTATTTTTATTTATTAATTTAAAAATGCTCCATGGATATTTAACGGTTACTAAATCAAATGCATATTGCAAATTTTATGACTTTTTTAAAAGTTTTAAAAAGTCATCTACAACATCAAGTGTAACCTTTTTAGTTCCCTTATTTGAAAGGATACTATCTTTTAGAAATCCTATTTTGGAAAACCAAAACTCTGTAGCTTGTTTGGTTGATTTTGATATAAGAGTAATTTTTTTTGGTCTTACCTTTTGGGTTTCAATAATTTCATAAAAAAAATTTGAACCAATATGATTTCCTTGATAAAATGGGGATACAAAAAAATAAGCTATATATATATCATTGTTTTTGTATATTCTAAAAAAACAAAAAGCTACTAACGTTTCTTTTTCAAAAACGACAATACAATTGTTTATTTTAATAGAGTTTGTTCCTGTTTTTTTAATTTCCTAAAGTTAATAAAAAATAATAGTTTTAAAATAATGGGGTTAAAAATCGAATATAAATACCTCTAAGAAGAAGACTTATATCTTCTGGGAAAAAATTGTTATCTTTTGCAAGTTTTTCTATCTTTTCACAGTATTTGTGATTTTCTCCACATTTGAATTGAACCCAAGTTTTCCTTAATCTTGGCCCAAAAACACTATCGGAATGGCAAATTAATGATTCAAATTCTTCCAATTTTTGTGCCATTTTTGAAAGTCTTTCAATATCTATAAATTGTAATAACAATTAATATATTTTTAATAAAAAGAATTAAAAAATTTGAATAAGAAATATTTACCATTTCCAATGTATTTAAACTTTAAAAATAAAAAAGGAGAGCTGAGTGTGTGAGTTTCGCTTAACAATACAATTGACATCAATTCGTTTTCTTTGGTAAAATTAAATGCATCTAATACACTACCACCTAAACTAATTGCTTGATGTTCTCTAATTGTGCAACAGTTATCCCACTTTTCGTCCATACTATTAACTTCAATAGATATTAAAAATGGTTCATTTCCATAGCTATTTTTAAAATGAATATAAGCTGTTGCAATTACTTGGATATTGAAACGAGCTTCATTCAAAAATTCAGCTCTTGATCTTTTTTTCTTTATAGCTTCAGGTTTAAGTGTGGATTCATATCTTTCGGTATTATAATTTTCAATAAAACTTTTTCCAATTTCAATAATACCATCTATTTTTAAATATTTTGCCCCTTTTATTATAGTTTTAATTACATCAAAGTTATTTTCTTCACAAACAAAAAAAATTAAATAAAATAAAAAAAAATAAAGAGGGAAAAAAAAAATTTAAATATTTATTTCTTTTTTAAATTTTTTAATTTTTTTATATCATTTTAAATTTAGAAAGAGATGAATGGGCTAATATGTTTCAAATTTTGGTTGGAAATTCATGAAACCTCCATTAAACAAAGTTACAAGAAGAAAAAGATATGAGTTTGAATAAAAAAATAATATTAAATAAATAAATATGAATATATTGCATTAACACCTCCATCTTAATATAGTGATATATTAAACAAAAATATCTCCCGTTGTAAATAGTTTTGTCTGTGTTCCCAAATCAATAATTTTGTCAATGCAATCAGCAGGAACTGAAATTGGTGTATCGTAGACTTTATTACCGTTTTTATCAACATTAAAAGAAATAATATTATACCCGTATCTAGTAATGCATGGTGTTCTTAATGAAAATGGAACAACATCGTCAAATTGGATGTTGTGGTAATCAAAGCTTGTCCAGTTGGTAACACGCGAATAATTAAACATTGGCTTTCCAACATAATCCAACATATTCTCTCCATTTTCCTGTAAACACTTGTAATAGCTGTAATCATCTTTGAATTGGTCCATTGTGATTGCCAATACACTTTCACGACTAATTTTTGCCAAGTCAAGCAGGCTCTTTTCTCTTATGTCATTGACCTTCAATATCATTTTGCCATGATGAACCAAATAACCAATGGCCTCTTGTCCTAATCCCAATTTAGATCTAATGTTGATTGAATATACCATAGTAAAATCTTGGTCATCAGACAAACTCGATGTAAAAGTATAGACTTTAAACAAGACAGCATTAATAATATCACCCTTTGAAAGAGCTGCTCCCTCTTGTGACTTAAATGCATTGACCCTCTTCAAATCAAACATCAAATTAATTTGTGAATTTTTAGAGAAACATTCAGCAACACCACCATCATCAGGAGAAACCGAGTTAGAAATGGGAGTATAGAAAACCCCTAGTTTCGAAACGCCATATTCTCTTGCTTCATTAACATTATCAAGTCTAATATTTTCATTTTCCAAAGATACAGAGTCAAAAATATATGGATTCTTTAATTCTATTCCCATTGAACCATATGTATATAAATGGGACAGATATTTACAGAAATAAAAGATACCAGCTTGGTCAAAAAATGTATGGTTTACATTGTAACCAACCACAAAGCCATCACTAAAGACTGTTAACTTTAATGCACCTATCGAAACTCCTTTTAAATATGGAGTAAACCCCGAAAACTGTGCAGGACTGATAATCTTCTTTGGTAGTATCATTTCCAATGCAGAACATTCAATGGAATCTTGTCTTTTTTCAATTTCCAATTGCTGTTGGCCATCACTCTCTTTGCTCTTTGGTGGGTAGCATGCATAAAACTGTCCATTTTCATCTCTGTATAAAAATGATAAAAAGAAATCGTATTCTATTAATGCATTTCCCATTGCTTTAATAAACCTTTCAACATCTATTTTTCCTTTAAACCACAGTCCCCCTCTTACGAAAACTGGAGAAAGGAAGTATTCCAATGGTCCAATATATTTCCTCCAACTGGCTTTTACAGGATAATATTTAACAGTGTTTGTTTCTTTATTAAAAAAGTATTTCATTATATAACAATAATAAAAATAAACTAAAAATAAACTTTGTAATAATAATAAAAATATAAAAACAAAAAATAATTTTTTTATTTAAATAATATTTATTAGTTTTTAATTTTTCCATCAAAAAAAGGGTTAAAAAAAAAAGTTTGGAAATATCCCTCAATATAAAAAAAGAATTTAATATTAAACAGATAAATGTTTTGGTTTATTATTTATAATATGATTGAAAAAAAGCCATAAATAAATAATTTATTTTTTTTTATTATTGTTACAACAAAATTATTTTTTAATATTATATTTGAATAAATAGATTATTTTGCTGGTTTTGGAGGTTTTATATTATTGGTAGCATTTGGAGAAACTATAATATTAATTAAACCTCTAACATTCTCCATTGAGGTTTTACCATATTTGATTCTTTCACCATCTATAGCGATAATACCTGTTCTTTCATTACCAGGTTCTAAAATTAAGGCTTTTACTTTGTGATGTTCGATAAGGTCACTCTTTAAATGATCACCAGTTGCGGAATCTGTTAAAATGGATAAAAGTGAAGCTTTTGATAACTTTGGATTATTACGAATTAAAACCAAATCGATTAAACCATCTGATAAATGAGCATTTGGTGATGAAATAAAATCAGATGCCAAATGAGTTACAGTACTTGCAACCACACCTATAAACTCGCCATCAATACATCTCCAACCATTTTCTAAGAGGTGATCTTGATTTTCGGTTAAATAATTTTCGTGATTAATTTTAGTTGAAGGTATGTGATTAATGTCCAATGATTTATATGCTGAGTTTGAACTTAGATTAATATCACTTCTTCCACTGGCACTCTTTGGAGTTGGTACAACTGATGCTGATAATGGACTACCGGAAGCACTGATGTCACTATTATTACTTGGTATTATAATTGGGTTTTCACTATCGGTGTTTGTAATAGACATTTTACTGGTGGTATCTTCCCCATTACTATTGTTATTATTATTTAATAATTTACTTTCAATTACCTTGATAGAATTTGTGCTGTCACAAATTTCACAATTATAAACACATTTTGGAATATTTTGAATTTTAGACTTGTCAACTGATTCATCTAGAGCAGGTAAAAAGAGGACCTTGCCTTTATAAATACGTAAATTCAAAATTCTAATGGCAGCACCCAATATTAAACGTAAGTCACCTAGGGAACGATACTTTTCAGACTCGATATCGACATCGCTAACCAAACCCCATGTCAATGATAAAATTGAACACCATTTAGTATCGCCTTGTTGAACGATACAAACATCCAATGGTTTAGTAAAACCATGGATAACAGCCAAAGCGGCATTCATTGGATCCTGTAACCCTATTGAACATGCTATACCATTACCAGTACCTGCTGGAATTAGAGCCAATGGGACCTTCTTTGCCTCTTCATAGTCTTCACGTGATAACATACCATTTATAAATTCATGGAACAAGCCATCGCCACTAATAAATACAACTGTGTCATACTTTGTATAATTAAATTTGAAGCCAATCTTTTTTGCATGCTCTGGTTCCATTGTAATAGTTCTCTTAATTTGAATTTCTGAATCTTTAAATAACTTTTCAATCTCTTTAAAAATAGTTTCACTTTCTTTTTTACCAGATTTTGGATTAATTAAAATTCTAATTTTTCTATTTCTTGGATGACCTCCTAATTGCACAAAAATTAATAAATTAGTATAATTTAAAAGTAAATATATAAACCATTATCTATATGACATACTTGGTAGTGTATTTAAAAATGTTGATTGAATCATTTGTTGAACGGTATGAGCTTCACTCTCCCCTCCTTGTGGAAATGAAAATGTATATGTTTTTCTTTTTCTTTGATCTTTATGTCTTCTTTTAACCACACATGCTGATAATATAAGTTTACCATCTACGACAGTTGTACCAACAATTGAATCTTGAAATATATATTTATTTTTTTTATTATTTATTTTTAAAACTATACCAGATTTCTTTATAAATAAATTTATTGATTTATTTGAATATTTTACCAATTTGATATCTAATAAACTCTCTTCACTGTCTAATTGCTTTTTGTTATTTTCACTAATTGAAGAAATTTCATTAGCTGTAGTTGTTGATGTTGTTGTGGTAGTTGTTGTTGTTGTATTGGTAGAATTTGTTACATTTGATTTTGTTGATTGGTTATCATCAAAATAATTATTATTATTATTATTAATATTATTGTTATTGCTATCATTACTTTCTATTTGAACATCCCTATCGTTTTCTTTTAAAGTTGTTGTAATTGTTGTTTCTATTTTAATCTCCTCTCTTATTTCTTGTTTGGTTTCATCATCTTTAATTTTTGTGATTGTGGTTGTGGAGGTTTCAACTTTATATTTTGGTGGGGTATCTTCCTCGGTATTATTATTTATATTTTCATTATCATTATTACTATTATTTATAATTTCGTTATTTGGATTTACAATTGTTGTAATTTTATTTAATGGTGATGAAGATTTTGTGGTATTATTTTCTTCATTATTGTCTGTAAAATCCCGTTGCCTTTAAAATCTTTTTTTTTCTAAAAAAACAATTCGAAATGAAAAGAAAAAAAAAAAAAAAAAAAAAAGATATTTATAAATTTAAAAAAAAAAAAAAAATTAAAAAAAAAAAATTAAAAAAATTAAAAAAAAATTAATTTGGTTAACGAAATCATATCGTAATATATTCAAATAATTTTTTCGAGTAATAAACCATTGTAACTATTATCCTTATATTATTTTTTTTTTTTTTTTTTTTTTATTTATTTATTTATAACCTGAATTAAAATAAAAAAAAAGAATAAACAAAAAATAATTTAAAATAAAAAGGGGTGGGGAATTAATATTAAATTTAATATATTTAAAAACTAGACATAATATTAGTAAGAACAATAATTATAATAATTATAATAATATTAATAAATTATTTACTTTTTTTAATATTATATATTTAGATTGTATATATTTAAAGATGGAAATAATAGAATTATTATAAAATATTTTTTGAAAAATAAATAAAAATAATTATATTTTTGATAAAATAATGAAGTTTACAATACCCACAAATTTCAACACCAAACTATCAATCCCCACATCATCAACTTTATTTTACCAGTGCCCTTTCAAACCCAACTTCTAAATGGAGAATCAACTAATCAAATAATTATTTTTGGTATGAAATAAATAAAAATATGAAAATTTACTAAAAATTAAATAAATTATTTTTTTTATTTTTTTTTAATTTTTTTAAAATTTTTTTAATTTAAAAAAAAAAAAAAAAAAGCAATGTTCACTAACACTCTTAAAACTTTTGCAGCAAATATTAAAAAAATGGAAGGTTTATTAAAAGATAATAAAATCTCTGATGTTATTTCATTCACTCCAAGTAAGTATACATGTGTATAACTAAAAAATTATTATTTATTAATTTTATTTTATTATTTTACTTTTTTTTAGAAAAAACCTTAACTGTTAAATATAACGGTAAAGAATTAGTTGGTAATGATACATTAACCCCAACCATTGTTCAAAATCAACCAGAAGTTACCTATGATGCCCAAGATAGTGAATTTTATACTTTAATTAAAACTGACCCAGATGCTCCATCACGTGAAGACCCAAAATTCGGTGAATGGAGACATTGGTTAGTCACCAATATTCCAGGTAATAAATTAACTGAAGGCCAAGTTCTTTCAGAATATATTGGCGCCGGTCCACCACCAAACACTGGCTTACATAGATATATCTTTATCTTATGCAAACAACCATCTAAAATCCACTTTAAAGGTGAATTCATTTGTAAAGCAAAGTAATTATCTCAATATATTATTATTATAAAAAAACCAATTAAATATGCACACACACATATATTAATACTAATTCTTTTTTTTTTTTTTTTTTTTTTTTTTATAAATAGTGCTGACACTAGAAACAACTGGAAAGCCATTGATTTTATTAAAAAATGGAATCTCGAACCAGAAGGTATCAACTTTTATCAAGCCCAATATGATGATTTTGTTCCAACTCTTTATTCAAAACTTGGTGAAGTTAAAGAAAAACCAGTTGAAATCCAATAAATAATTAAGTAAATAAATAGTTTTTTTTTTTTTTAACAAAACAAAATACACTAACTACACTACCCTTTTTTTAAAAAAAAGATATATTTATTTTATTGTTTATATTATATTATTTACAAATGGTTTATTTAATTTTAATTTTAATTAATCTTCTAATTTTAAAAATTTTGTTTAATACATTCATTTACAATAGTTAAAATTGATGAACTTGTATCTAATGCTGCTGAAACTCTTTCTTTGTCATTAAGTTGTTTATTTACTATTTATTATTTTGTATTATTATTATTGTTTAATAAATAAATAAATAAAATGTTAATATGATAATGAGTTTAATAATAATTGACTATAGTATATATATATTTACCAGAAGATTCTGAAGAATGACTACCAGGTGTTACAATAACATCAACTTTAAAACGTTTTGGGAGTGATCTTGCTAATTTTTCTTTAATTGAAAGTCCAATAAGATTTGCCATTGAACAATGGGGTACGGTTGGTGTAAAATATAAACGTATATAACTCTTTTTTATATCAATATTTATATTTTCGACACGTACTACATTTAATTGTTCTAATGTTAATGGATGTTCTGGATCTGTAATATTACGTACTAAATCGAAAATCTCTTCTTCATCAAATGGGTCAAGTTCATCTTCGCCCAATGAATATCTTGAACTCATTAAAACATCTTCCTCATCTTTAATTTCATTTTCTTGAACATAAATTACTGGATTTGGGTTATCTGACATTTTTAATTAATTTATATAAATATATATATAGTTTTTAAGATAATATAAAAAAAATAAATAAAAAATTAAAAAAAATATTAAAAATATTAAAAAAAAAAAAAAAAAAAAAAAAATTTTAAAAAAAATAAATAAAAATAAAAAAATAAAATTATTTAATTAATTAAAAAAAACGAAATATTTAAATAAAAAAGAAAATCTGGGTCCCAAAACAAATAATGGATAATTATATTATTAAATTGATCGATATTCCCTTACACACTCATTTATCTTTCCATATGTGCATACTTTGCAAAAAATATGATTTTGTGGGGGGGATGAGCGTGGGGGTAAAATAATTTAATTTTTTAGATGTGCAAAAAAAAAAAAATTAATTAATGTGTATATTGGATACTTTTGTTGTTTAATATAAGTTTCAAAATAAATAAATTTTATTTAAATATTACATTTTATTTTTCTTTTTTTTTTTTTTTTTCTTTTTTTTTTTTTTTTTGTTTCCTATTATATATATTATTTACTATTATATATATTATTATTATATATATTATTATTATTATTATTTTAAACTATTAAAACTTTATTAACTGATTTGTTTTTACCGATATTATCAAATTCATTAGTTCCAAATTTTGTTTCAAAATTGAGTCCTGGATCGAATTTTGAATTATCAAAATCGTCATCATCAAAGTCATCAAATATACCATGAAGACCTGATGATGTTGAACTGTGTTCTACTAAACTGTAATAGTTGGATGTTTGTGGCTTTAATATGATTTTGTCGAATCTTACAATATGTGCAATCGACAATATTATTGAATTTATACAAGAAAATATTAAAATATAATATCCTGCCAATGGCTCTGAATGTATTCTATATTTAAAAGTGAATAAATAGTTGAGACTGTCTTCATTACTTGTAGCTTCGAAACCCGACTCACTAGTGGCACTGTCGAGACTATTGAAACCACTTCCCTCGCTTGTCACTATAGAGGTTGAGTAGGATCCTCGAAGTTTGATCTTTATGCATTGATCCTGGCCATCTGATACTGGTGGAAGGAAACCGCAAACATTTAAACGCTTTTCTGAACCTATGAATGCCAATGTACCAATAAGCGCTATAACCACAATTGGAACAAAGTGAATTAAAATTTCCAATTTTTTTGATTTTTGTGGTGGAACAATACCTCTTTCAATAAGACACACTAAAAATATATATCCAATTATATATATTATTGTTATTACGCCTAATGCCACCAATACCATCTGAGTATTATCTCTGTAAAAATGATGATGCTCCTTTTCTATTGCATCATCACTAAAATATACAGTTGAACTTTGAAACAATGAGTGTTGAATGGATCTAATAGTTTCTTTTGATTCATTATTACCAGTCAATATTTTAGTTTCCTTTAACGTAATTTTTTGCCATGGACCTATAAAAAATTTTAATTATTAGTTATAATTAAAAAATTAAAATAAAAAAATAATCAAATAAATATATTCTTACTCGCAATAGAAACTATTAACACTATAATTACTATTAATTGCACAATAATCAATGGCTCGATTGATTTTAACTTCATTTTTGCTTTATAATTAATCTTTAGATGGGAAGTATTATTTCTACTATTAAGTTTATTACTGTTGCTATTGATATTACTTTTTTTACAATTTTCTTTTGGAAAAAAAAAAAAAATAAAATACAAAATATAAAAATAAAAAAATAAAAAAATTATCTATTAATTTTCATATATGTTTTTTTTTTATAAACCATTCAAATAAATGTGATGTGTGATTATTTATGATTGTATATAAAAATATTTTATATAATATAAATATTGTTATTTTAATCTATATATTTGTATAATTTTTCATTTAATAAAACAAAAAAAAAGAAAAAAAAAAAAAAGAAAAAAAGACATTAAAAAAAGAAAATAAATAAATTAAAATTTAAATATTTAAATTAATAAAAAAAAAAAAAAAAAAAAAAAACCATTTAATATGGGTTAATTTATAAAAAAAAAAAAAAAAAAAATTTAAAAAAAAAAAATTTGTGGGGGTTTCCGGAGGGGGTAATTAAAAAAGATGGGGAGGTGGAAAGGTAGAAAACCAATTTAACAAAGCCTACCCAAAATTTAAAACCTTTTTTTAAAAAAACAAAACACCCTTTGCCTCCACCCCAAACACAACACACTTTTTTTTTTAAATTTTTAATATATTAGGAGACCATTTTTTTTTTTTTTTTTTTTTTTTTTTTTTGTTGTTATACAAAAAGTAATTTACATATCATCGCCATAGTGAATGATGGTGAAACGGAGAAAAAAAAACCTTAGTAACATAATAGTACCATAGCGTACAATGGTTCCACTTTTTTGCTAAACGATATACAAACGACATCTTTTTAAAAAAGACCACGCAATAAAAAAAAGATTTTTTTTAATATTAAAAATTAATAAATTTAATTAATTTTGAAAAAATTTTCATGATTTAATAAATCTAGAAAAAAGTGGTTTTTGTATCAGATCCAAATTAATATTTCAAAATAGATCATTATTATTTATAAAAAGAGGTAATAGATATTGTGATAATTAATATTATGGGTGATGTTGAGATTGAATAAATGTGAAAAATTATTTTAAACTGTGGGTATTGATCCAATAAAAAAAATAATATTTTTTTAACTGGCTGTATGTTTATGAATAAATGAGGATTTTTTTTTTTTTTAATATTAATTTTACAAATGGTTTTTTTTATATACCAAATATCCTAATAAAATAATATTTAAAAATATAAAATTAATTTAATCGTTTCTATACTTTTTTTTAAATTTTATTTTTATATAAAGAAGTTTTTATTTCACATTTAGTTTTCTTCTTCACCTTTGTTTGAGGCGTTTTTAGCCATCTTACGGGCACGACGACCTGGACGACCACCAGCTAATGGTGAGGTTGAGGCTAAACCTAAGTGTTTTTGTGATTCAACACGAACTAAGAATGATGGAACGTTGACTAATTGTTTACCAACACGGATGTGTCTACCTTTGATGAGGACACGAGCGTGATGGATTGATTTGGCAAGACCGTTTTTGAAGACTAAAGTTTGGAGACGTCTTTCCATGAAATCTTGAACTTTAAGATTGAGGACATAATCGAGTTTGTTTTTTGATTCGTCCATGACACCTAATTTGTGGAGTCTACGGAGGAGGGCAGCACCTTCAAAAAGACGTTTTGGGTCTTTTTCGTCAAGAACGAGGAGTTCTCTAGCAGCTTTACGGATTTTAGCGAGGGCGAATTGAACTCTCCAGACTTCGTTTTTGTTCTTTAAACCATATTCACCAACAACTTTTAATTCAGCGTCGATTCTTTCTTTTTCGAATGGACGAACTGGGGTGTTTGAGGTTTTGCTGAACTATAATAATATAAAAAAAATGTTAATCTTTCTGTTGCTGATAGATATGGGATAGTTGTGTTGTTTGAGATTGATATATAGGGTCATAGTTTCATTTCTGTGTTTTTGATTTTATTGTGTCTAAAATTTTGATCGCTATCTGTATTTTGTCTATTGTTGGGTAATCTTTGTCAATCTTTGTATATCTTTGTCTATCTTTGTTTATCTTTGTCAATCCATTGATAATCTATGACCTATATGCTCAATCTTGAAGTAATCCAAAATAATAAACTCCCATTACGGCTTGTCATTCTTTATCTCTACAGTTATTTGAAGCCCTAAAAAAAAAGGAAAAAAAAGGGCGTGAGAATACAAAAATTTTTAATTTTGTTTTTTTTTTTTTCGTTAATTTTTTTTTTTTTTTTTTTTTAAAAATTTTTTAAAAATTTTTTTTTATGGCTCGTAACATGTTGATAAAAATTATTATTATTGGATATTTTTATATTTATTTATATAATTAAATTGATCTAAAAGTGATTAAATTAATTAAATAATAAATATTTTGTTTATTATTTTTTATAGTCATTTTAACACATATTTTATTATTTTATAATTAAATTATTTTATAAATTGATTAAAACATTTATTTTTTATTTTTATTTTTATTTTTTTTTGAAATTTTTATTTTTATTTTTTCAAATTTCAATTTAAAATAAAGTTCAGTTTTAAAAGTATATTTTATTCTATTATTGTAACTATAGAGTGATTCATTTAAAAATTAATTTGTTTTTACAAAAAAAAAAAAGAAATCTGTGGGGTTATTTTTTTTTTTTTTTTAGTTCGTCTTATTCTTAAATAAAAAAAATTGAAAGAAAAAAACAAAAAAAAGAAAGATCGAGATGATAATAAAACAAAAATATGATTATAAATGGTAAAAAAATACAATTCCTATATTTTTATTTAAACACCGAATATTTTAAATAAGAAAAAAAATATTTATTTATTTTTTTTTTGTTTTTTTTTATTTTTTTAATTTTTTTAATTTTTTTAATTTTTTTTAATTTTTTTAAAATTTTTTTTTTTTGCAGTAGGAAGAGCTCATTAATTTAGGGGCAGTCTCCATTTTGACTTGCCATTTTGATCCATATCCCTTATAAAATATCAATATTAATAGTAATAATAATTAAGTATCAATAACTATCATATTTAAAAATAAAATAAAAAAAATAATAAATAAAAATAAATAATAAATAAAAAAAAAATTGTAATATATTTTTTTTTTTTTTTTTTTTTTTTAATTTTTTTTAAATTTTATTTTTTTTATATTTTATTTTTATTTTTTATTAGTTGTATTTCAAGATAAAATATATTAAACACAATAAATAAATATAAATAAATATATAGTACTATTATTTTAAACACACACATTTATATATCATAAATAAAATAATAGTTGCAATAAGCTAAATAGTAGATTAATAATAATAATATAACATTATATTATAATAAT